TGGTTTGGTTTTATACAAGAGGCTTGGTTTGGAGGTGAACTGGACCCTTTTCACTGAAGACCCCAGCAGGAGACAGGCACCCGTCTCCGGGATGTCCAAAAAAGAAGGTTTAAGGCTTAAGGTTTATTCGATTTATATGCCGCCCTTCTCCCAAGGACTCAGGGCGGCGTACAACATTAAAAGAAACACATAACTACAAAAGTTAAAAAGAAATTAAATAGGCTATTCCCAAACCCAATTAAAATTAACAACACATTTTTAAAAAAGAGTTCAAATTAAAATTAACAATAATCAATACTTTGATTTGTTTTGTTCAGGCCAGAAGTCAAAAATTGGGGGGGGGGGGGAATAAATTGGTGGAAAAGCAGCTTGAAAGTAATTAACAGCCCCATTTCCCCCCTTCTGCTGCCAATGACTACAGAAGGGAGATTAAAACCAGCATGTCGGGGAAAAGAAATGCTCCCCTTTGTGAATTGTTTTAAGGGGAATCCTGCAGGTCAACAGGGAATCCAGTTTTTGAGCAAAAACCTCAGTGTCTCTTGCATGGAGGCCAGTGGTCACTCGGGGGTAGAAAAATGGATTCTAGACATGCTCAGAGGTTAAAACTTTCAAAGCCTTCCTCCATACAAACTCAGCAGCCCTGGTTCTGCGGACTTCGCCTTCATCCCCAGGACCCTGGTGGTGATGCCTGGCTCAACACAGCGATCCTTCGGACTACAACTTCCATCCTCCTCTTCCACGGTCCTGGAAGAGCCAGGCTACCCGCGAATTCAGCAGTCAGCAAGTCCCAAGAAAGACCCTCGCAGAAAGACAGGTCGGAGGGAGGCCAGCCCGGGAATTTCAAACGCTGATGTGAAGGCCCTCCCTCCCTTAAAATATTAAAAAGTTAAATATTTAAATTAAAAACACTTTCTTTCGTAACTTTTTAATTTTTCCATCCTCTTCCTTCATTTTACTTCGCTGGTCTCCTGTCACAGATGCTGTTTTTTTGTGGGGGAAACCTTAAGTTTTTAAAACTCCTTATTGTTTG